CTTTTTTGCATCGAAAAAATATCGAACTGTGAGACTATTGAACCGAACCGAATTGTGAATTTTCTGTATCGTTGCACCCCCAATATTTATGTATATTTGTTTTTGGAGGGGAGTGGGCGGGGGGGGTATCTGTTCACAGACTTTCAAGGCAAGTAWATGAGTTTAGTCTGCGTAGAGAAGCTGTCTATGTAAAAATAAGAAGTTTACTGACATTGCAGGTATAAACAGTGACTTTTTTATCAGAACCAGAACAGGACTCTGCACCCAAGGTGTCTTATACTTCAGCTCACTAAAGTGTTTATTTTTTGTTTGCTTCAAACTTTTTATATGAGCACAACTGTTATACATGTATTTGAGTATGAAAAATGTTAAATTACTGCACTGTATGTTGGTTTAATAAATATGTTTACAAACAATTTTAAAATTGCAGTTTTGTTACATTTAGGTAAATGTGCAGCATGATGTAGGCCTCTAGTAGTGATAACAAAAAACTGTGGTCCCTTCTATTATTTAAGTGTCCCATTCCTGCCATAATGCTCCTGTGACGACCAGATTGTTTATGAAGCCTGATAAAGCCCAGGAGCTCATCAGAGTGATCTGCTGCAGCTGTTGCTAATTACCACCACTGGCCAATCGATAAACTGCAGACACTGGRAAAAAAAGGCTGAACTCCTGCACTRCAGTGGTTTCTACTAGACTTTACTTACTTTAAAATTTACATGCACCTTTTTATTCTCAATTATACACCAATAAACAGAATAAAGGGTGGGGGTCCTTGCTTTATGGGATACAGTAGTGTTGCAACAGAAAAGGTTTTTGTTGGAAACACAACATTGTCTCAAATGTCTTGTTGAAGCATTACATTTGCTCGTCATTCAAGATCAAGAGTCCAAACCCCTCCAGCAATCAATCATTAACAAGTGTGTCAAAGTACTTCTGTTTATCTTAGTGTTTGAGTGTATATAAACTAAAATTTGTTCTACAAAAAAAAGTTCTAGTTGAACAAATAAAAAACAAAATACCAMAACTGATTGAAATATTTGTCATTGGCTGTTCGATGCAAATTCTTTTTTACTTTTTCTGTGCTCGCCACAAGCTCCCGACTAGAGAAAATTCCATCACATGCTGTAAAGTCCTGCTTTAAGTTGTACAAACACACGAGCGGCTGTCAGAAGACCACACAGTTTCTAAAATATTCTTG